GAAAGCAAAATGGGAAAGTCTGTAGGAAAGCAAAATGGGAAAGTCTGTAGGAAAGCAAAATGGGAAAGTCTGTAGGGGCTGAAGCCATGCACAGTGGTTGTCTCTGCTGAAGGGCAGTGAGATGAACAGAAAAGCTGACCAAGGGCAGGCCTCTGAGGGAGCAGAGGGAGGAGGTTTTCAAAGAAGTCAGAGCTGTATGCAGAACTGGAGGAGGGAGGGGAGGATGAAGAAGTGTTTGCTGATAAAGGATCTCTTCTCTGGCAGACTTCCTGCCCGGCCAGCTCAGTCCATCCAGAAACTCCTATCTCACTTCTGGGCTTGGGCACAGAAGGCTCTGGAAACAGTTACTCGCCTGTGTTTGCTTGGGTATCAGTGTGCCCTTTAGCTCAGATGCTCACTTCCTATAAGCAAAGACTGAGGGGACAGTACAGGGGACTCAGGGAACCCTGAGGGCATTTTCAGGACGGTTGGGAGGCCAAACTGTAAGGTGCATGGTGTAAGAGGGTGATGGAGGATGAGAGAGGTCCCTGGATGATGATAGCAGAAGGTACGGGTTGTGGGGGGGCGTGAGGGAGGGTGTTGAAAAAGTGAATTCGGAACTCTAGATTTGAAAATGTACCTCCACTCCTCCCCCCCCCCACTGCCCCCAAAAGGATCTCCCTGTGTACCCAGCTGCCCTGGCACTCATTATGTAGTCCAGGCTGATCTTGAGCTTGTCATCGTCTTCCTGCCTCAGCTTCTGGAATGCTGGGATTACAGGTGTGAACCACCACATGTGCCATGAATATGTTCTTAAACAGCCATGAAAGTCAGTGTGTAGGAGGGAATAAAGACATAAGAGCAGACAGCGGAACCACCGGCAATGGCTTTGAGAAGTGACTGAGGCTGCAGGGGAGCTTGCCCCTGGCCGAGGGCATAGAATAGTAGGACACTTCAAGAGGCAGACCCAGGGACAGCTATGAGGAAGGAAACCGTGGCACAAGAAGAAAATTTGCTGACTCCGATTTCTAACTCTGATGTTTATCAGCTGTGTGACCTGTGGTGAGTGACAGTATTTCTTAAAGCCACAACTTCCTTTTTGGTAAGATAGCAGCTCTACCTTCCTACTCCAGTAACTGTATGTAACTGGCCCACCTATTTGGGTTGTTGTTTTGGGAAAAAGCTCCCCTTTCCTGGTAAAAACAGAGTGACTGGAAGATGCTCCTGACCTTCACAAACCCATGAAGGTGAGGAGGAGGCGAGGGGAGGATGCCATTGCCCCAAGAAACTAGGAAACGGCATGCAGGAGTGTTGGCCATGGACAACATTAACGAAAGACGAATAACGTGCATTTGTGCACATCAGGGGTCTGGGTGTCAGGGATGGACTTCTGGGGGGCTCTGACCCGTTTGAGAAAGTGTTAGGCTGAGTGCCGCCAGCTTCCCTGGCATTCTCCTGTGCTTCTGTGCATTCTCCTAGGGCTTCTAAGAGGTCAGGCCACCCTGTGGGATCCGTGCACCCTGGAGGCTAGTTGGAGCCTGTTAAGCTTTCCTGACAGTCTCCACCCACACTTTAGGAGCCTGTGGTGAGTTTGGTAAACCTGGGATGACGGTGTGCTTGTTCATTCCGCGTACTCTCCGTGCCCCAGCCAGCTCTACTAGAACAGCATGGCAGGTACTTGGCTTTCATCTCCTGCCCATCTCACGACCTTTAACAAAACACAACAACAACAGAAAAACTTGCTGAGTGTGTTGAAGCCCCGCCCTTCCGTGCGCAGCCCGGGGACCGCCCCTCCTGCCTTCCCTGCCGGGTCCCGCTGCTTCCCGGAGGCGCTGGAGGTGCAGACTGTGGCCCATGGGGCCCTCGGTGCTGCCCACCTGGCTGCAGCCCAGGTAGGGCGCGGGGCGGCGGGGAGGGAGGGGCCAGGGCACTGGGAAGAAGCCCACTCCCCGGCTTCCACTCATGGGTGACGCCCCTGACTCTGCTCAACATTGACTGCTGGTGCTAGCGGATCGCACTTTCTCCATAAACTCAGGAAGGAGGCTCCCGTTTCCCTCTTTTTAAAAAATTTTTTATTTGGAGATGAGGAAATGGAAGGACAAGCGGCCTGGCCACCTCTTCTCTTTGTGCATTCCCACTGGCTCTTCCCTTCCTCCTCGACCCCGCTGCGCTCTAGACTCCGGCGCAGGGTGATTTTCAGAGCGTCCTGTGGCAGCAGCGACCACACAGGAGGGATTCCAGGCAAACTAGCGCCCGGGGTGTGTGTTTACAGCCAGGTGATTCTGGTTGGGTTGGCGTTTTCCTTCCTAATCCCTTCAGCAATTTTGGTCATCTGTTGACTACTCCAGAGAATCGGCTTCCCAGTTTATATACCTCGTTTCTCAGAGGTTTCCCATCTCCAGCTAAGAGCAGCTCTTGTTTAGGCTGACAAGGCCACTCCAGCCTTCCTTCTGCACACCAGGGAGCCCTTCAAACACCGCCTTTTGGAACTCCCTGGGAACAAGGATCTGTCAATCTTCTCTTAGTCGTCTCCCCAGCAACCTACAACACATTTTTTGCACTCAGCTTGACTTCCTTTTTTCCCCCGCCCTGGCTTGAGCAACTAAACTGCTTTCTATGTGTGTCTGCTGAAGGGAACTGGCTTCTCTGGTAAAGTATAACAGGAGGCAGTGGCCAGAAGAGAGTAACCCAACCCCAAGGTACAAGTCAGGTGTGTCCAATTACTGAGTCGCCCGGTTGTGACCACACCCCTCTGATCATTTAACAAGCCTATCGAACTGGGCTGCAAGCTGCCCAAATCAGTCCTTTTGCATCCATCCATGCTCCTTCCTTGTCACTTCGAATTCCAAAGCTATATTTTCAGTGACAGTAGGTGTTAGAGAAACAAGGTTAGAATTTTATCCAAGATGGGAATGAAGTTTGGAAAACAACTGTCTTTGGTTTTCAGCAATCTCAATCACTATGCTCATATTAAATAACGTCCCATCAAACTTTAATGGGTTTGGAGGGCCAACACAATGAAAGACCCTGATACAGAACTCTGACATGGAACTTTTCTTCTGCTTGCTCGGTTTGACTGATGCATTAAGACCTGTTTAATGGCGTTTCCCTGTGTTCATAGGTATAGAAAGAATGTGTATCTTTTCATCTATTATCTAGTCCAGTTCTGTGGCCACTCATGGATACTGACAAATATGACAGCCAGATTCTTCTCCTTTGGAAAAGGTAAAACTCTTTTTTTTTTTTTTTAAGATCTATTTATTTATTATGTATACAGAAGAGGGTGCCAGATCTCATTACGGATGGTTGTTAGCCACCACGTGGGTGCTGGGAATTGAACTCAGGACCTCTGGAAGAGCAGTCTGGTACTCTTAACCTCTGAGCCATCTCTCCAGCCCGGTAAAACTCTTAAACAGTTTTGATTTTTAACTTTTATTCCTTGTTCTCATCTCGTCCTGCTGATTTTAATTTTGAACTTCTGTGCAGCATACCTGGCATCATTCACTTCTTTAGAGTTTGTTTTTCCATAACCATACTTTATTATTTCAACCTGAAACCTTTTTGTAGTAGGCAGAAGGTGAGGAGGAAAGGATGTGTCTTGTCCCAGAGTAGGCAATTTGCTTTGAAAGCAAAGCAAGTATCTTTGGGATGTTTCTTTTTGGTCCTGTACCAAACAGGCAAATGTAACACATTTTGAGGACTCTGTAAATTCCAGCCTGACATTCTGTGCAAAGCAATGAGAAGTTAATGAAATCCTTCTATTGATTTTCATTCCCCGGGTTTAGGGTAGCTGAGGATTCCCAGTAACTGAATGACAAACGTTGTCTCCCCCACACCCCTGTTGGATCCCTTTAGTGATATGTCCGTGACACAGCACACTGGTGACGGCCACCTATGTGGAGTTGGCATTGATGACTTGAATCATAAGCTTCCTTCAGTTTCCTAAAAAGTCAAGATGTTTCTTTAAACTATTCATTTCAGATTGTTAAAGAATGAATCACCAAGTGACTATCAAAACACCATTCCCTCTGTGTCCCATCCCCACATGAGTAAGTGTCATCACAGTTTACAACTGTTTGGTGACTCGACAACTTGAACAACTGCTGGTTTAGCTAAAAACAAACACGAGCATGACTGGAAAAAACCATGCTGAGTTCAGAAATTGAGAGTCGTGTATCACAAGGAAACCCATCTCCTGGGCTGTCACAAACCATTTCATGTTTCTCAGTCTTACTGAAAAGGTACACAGTTCTTGCCTTGTTAGTCTCCGAGCTACAGCAGAAGGCTTGAGTGTTAGCTACGCCCACCAAGAGTTGTCAAGCAGAAGGAAGCCGCCATACAAGTGGTGGGAAGCCATCACTTCTGTAGGTTAGGTGAGGCTGTGTGGGCAAACTGCAGTCCACTCACCTCCTGTGCCCCAAGAAAGAATTCTAATACGGCCCCCATTGTGGGACGTGGCTTTAGCCGTCAGTATTTTTATGATACGCCACTGTATTTGTAGCAGCTATGTACAATTAGAGAAACATAAGTGATTTGTTCCTTTGAAAGGGAGACTGAGGACGCTGGAATAGACCAGTTCCATTTCCTTGGCCAGTGGTTCTCAACCTTCCCAATGCTGCGACCTTTTCACACAGTTCCTCATGTTGTGGTGACCCACAACCATAAAATTTCGTTGCTACTTCATAACTGTAATTTTGCTGCTGTTATGAATTGTAATGTAAACATCTAATGTGCAGGGTATCTGATATGCAACCCCTGTGAAAGGGGTGTTTGACCCCCAGGTTGAGAACCACTGCCCTAGGCAGTGAACTTGTGTGACCCACTACCTTCTTCTGTCAGGGTTGTGTAATGGTACAGGCAGTGGGTAGGAGTGTGGGCTCTTGGTATGTCGGGAATCATCTCTGAGAGGGGCATGATGATGACAGCCTCCATGCCTTATAGAGACAGCAAGAGGATAAACCCCAGTGCCTGGTCAATTATAATCATGCAAACACCGGGAAGCAGTAAAAATAGAAAACTTACCAGCAGAAGTCTCCAGATGTGGCAGGATTTTAAGATCTTAAAGCAACAAGTTTGTCTTTAGAGGTCCATCAGTTCCCTTCTATTTCAGTTTCCTCTCGGGAACATCTGAGTTATATACTCTCACATTGCCAACTCCAAAGTTCAGTGCTTAAAACAAATCCAAAGTCACTAGTGCGAGGTATGTCAGCCTCAAGTGCAGGCAGACCTGGTGTCTGACATCACAGCATCAACAGTGTCATTTCTATAGAATTTCTCTGAATCAGTTTTCTATTCCTTTTTTTTTTTTTTTTTTTGGTCAATGAAAAAGCTGAGCACAGCAGATTTTTTTAGTGAGTTTACCCCAAAATATCTACACACCAGGGGTTTAGATTCTGTCTGATTACATGTGTGTGGGAATAGCATGGGGATCTCATATACTGGGAATAAATACAACTCTGGCTGTGAAGACTTTGTAAGTTTCAATTCTTTTTGGAAGAGGACCAATTAAAAAGAACTTTACATACTTTCTCTATCTATGTGCTTCTTATAAGTGCCACAGTACTTGGTAGGGATGCATCTCATTGCTACAACTTAGTAGCTTATTTAGTGATTTTTTTTTTTTTTTTGCACTTACAATAAAGAAATTCATCTCAGCTGTATTTTGCAGTACTCCGCAAATGTATGCTCTGAAGCAGTTTTGACTCACCGTGTCTTTATTTGTCACTCACTGACACAGATTCAATGGTTGACACATTTTATGCTATCGGGCTGGTTATGCGGGTTTGCCAATCCATTTCCCTCCTGGAGCTGCTGCACATTTATATTGGCATTGAGTCAAATCATCTTTTCCCGAGGTTTTTGCAGGTAAGTTTAATCATGCTATTATTACAGTCTCTTTAATTTTTGAGTTTATCTTATTTATTGTCCCTAGTGACTTTATGGCAGGATCCCTTCATAGGATTCCCTTCCTAAACCACAGCAGTTAGTGTGGTCCATTGGTAGTGTTTGGGAAATGCCACTGGCCAGCCTGTGTACTGCATGGATCCTGTCTTGGAGATTCCATAGCCATTGACCACTCTCCAGGTATCTCCTTCTGAAATAGATAAGACAGTGGAAAGGCTCAGACTTGGGTTTGAGGTCTGCCTCTTCTACTGACCACTGTGGGGTTATACCTCCACAGCCACTGGGCTGTTGATGGGAAAGAATAGAGGATTAAAAACCAAAACGATGGTGCTTGTTTTAAAGGCAGATTGACAGAAGTTGGGAATTTACTACTGGTAGACACTCCACATAGGAAATCATTGTTTAATTAAGACAAAAAATTAATTAAAAATGATGTTTTCCATGAGAAAGACAAAATAACGGTTAGGTGACTACATGGATATACATTAAAACTACAGGATTTGAGGCTGGGCAGTGGTGGCGCACGCCTTTAATCCCAGCATTCAGGAGGCAGAGCCAGGTGGATCTCTGTGAGTTCGAGGCCAGGCTGGGCTACCAAGTGAGTTCCAGGAAAGGCGCAAAGCTACGCAGAGAAACTCTGTCTCGAAAAACCAAAAAAAAAAACAAAAACAAAAACAAAAAACAAAAACAAAAAAAAAAAACAAAAAAAAAAACTACAGGATTTGGAATAGCCATCTCAATGAGCATAATTTTAGATATCCTCAAAAGAAATTGAAAAACAAACTATTTCCTAAAATATCAGAATCTTAATGTATTTAAATACCCAGCAAAGTACTTAGAATGTAAACATACAGCTTAAGACTTGTTTATTATATAGCTCCATGTGTTAATTTGCTTGAAATATCATGAAAATTTAAAAGATGCAAATAATGGTATAATCCTCATGAATTACAAATATTAAAAGTATTTATGGATGGGGACAGTAAAAATGGGTCAGAGAGATAGCTGGGTAATTTTGCTGCCAAGCATGAGGACCTAAGCTTGATCTTTGGAGCTCACATTATAAAGGGAAAAAATCATCTCCTACAAGTTGTCCTCTGACCTCCACACATGCACTGAAGCACGAGTGTGGGGGCATGTGTGCACAAACACACAAAAAATGTTTTAAAAAGTATGTGGTAGATTTGATTTTACTTAGTAAACAAAAATAGAGTACTATTCATTAGAATGAAGACATTTTAAGTGTTGAAATATCAAATGTTTAAAAAGGAGGGTAATAATGTACAATAGTTATATTAAAATTAACCAGCTAAGAGCTATATAGAATCTCCTAAACATGTCACTTTACAAACTAAAAAGGGGCACAGATCAATCACAGAAGCAGTGATTAATTTAGAAACAAGATCTATTGGTATTCCTGACCTAGTGGGTCTCTTGTACTTTGAAAATGCCAAAATGTGTACATCAGAATGCTAATTCTAGAGAGCAGAACTAACAACTCAGAAGACATGAAATCTGCATCCATCACGTGGAATTATCCACTAGGAGCTATATCAAGTTCATATAAAATCTGAGTCATGTTATCACTTTCACTCTTCCCTAAAGGGCTTTTTAGTTTTTTAGGCTAAGTTGGCTATTACTAATTTCTTGGTAACACAGCATTTTCAAAACTTGTGTTAGTTTTGAACTAACTAACACAAAAGATTGTGTTAGTATGGCTGTTGTTATTGCACACTGTGGTTCTAGACCTAGTCAGGAAGGAGACTTGAGTGAGAGCTTGAAATAAATGTACACAGATTGTTTACTTGACAAAAATTACTTAGACTTGCCTAATAATCAAAATTACTGTAGAATTGAGACATCTGATTTCTTAGAGGTGTACAAATTCCAGAACATTCAAATGTGGTTTTTAATCACCAATAATTAAATCTCAAATGGCATATAGAACCATCACTGAAAGCAAAGAACCAACTCATGTAACATATACACATGTATTTAATTTATTAAAAAATTAGTTCGCTAAGTCCAGTGCTAATGGAGCACAATGATCTTGAAGTCTTCAGTCCTGGGGAGGACAAGCAGGGATGAGGGTGCCAGGAATGAGGATGAACCTCCCGGGCTATGACCAACCCAGACATGAACACAGCCCTTTTGATGTGCCTGTCTTGCTTTCTCTCTTACTTGAAGTTGTATCTCTCCTCTGTTGTTTTTATTGCATTTGTTCTCAGAAAGGGAATGGCATTGGAAGAGCTTTATTCAGGTCTCATAGGTGAGGTTTCACATTTGGTATCTTTCCTTATGAAAGTTCTGCAGACAATTAGAATTTCTTCATTATCAGACAACCCCGAGTATTCTGCTTAAAAATAACATAACAAAGCCTTAGGTTGTGTAACCATTTGTGGTGTTCCTATTTCCCCATTTTTAAATGAAGAGATGGTGCTTAAAGCAGCTGAGTTACTTACAGTTATTATGGTTGTAAACAGGCATCATGTTCTGCTGCTTCAAAGGGGAAAAAAGCCATGTCTATAGAGTTGTGATGTTGTTATGGTATTACTTCATGGGGTTGCAAAGCCACAATAGAGTGTGGTCTTTTGAGAACAGATTTTCCAAAATGTCAAGATAACTAACTCCAGCTAGCATGAACAATGTATTAGAATTAGCTAGTTGGACAACTAATGTAACATCTGGCGAGAGCTGGTGTGGAGGGAAATGAGGGTAGATGTGGGCTTGTTCATTGTTCTGAGTTATTAAATGTTTTACACTCACATATCTGACAAGCAATAAACTATAATTTTTAAAATTATACGCAACTGCTAAAACAAAAACAGCAGAGAAAACACACACTATAAGACAGTAGGTATTTAACAGACATCTATACTTTATTTATTTATTTATTTATTTATTTATTTATTTATTTATTTATTTATTAGGAGGAAAAAATCCAAGACTGTAACACAAAAAGCTGTTTATAGGCTTATTGTTTATACCAATTATATATCACTTAAATTATATACAGAAATATAACAAACTTTGATATTCTTGGTCTCAAGTGGGAAACCTCAGAAGATACAAAAGAAGCACGTTCAAAATGACAGTACAAATGAAAGCAAAGTGTTTTCCCTTCCTAGCCCTTTCTTTCCAAACAAACTTGCATATTGGTTGCATTAGTTAAAAAGGAGTTAAACAGGGACTAGCTGATTTTGATAGACTTCTTTAAAGAAGACTTAAAAACTTGACTTCTGTAGAATGGAATATAGCCACGCCTGAAAGGTTGACTTTGAAGGTTTTGTTCAGTCTTCAGCTTTGCAGATACCTCGAAAGCTTTTCTTGATAAAAACTTGACATTTTACTTAGAGAAAGGGGGAACAACCCCAGATGAACCTTTGTACCACAGCGTTTGATAGGTGCACCTTATAGGAAACTCTCAGAGGAATAGAGTTTAGCTGACTTCAAGTGGTTCAATACCATATCCTGCCCCTCCATCAATCACCATGAACATTGCTACACATGTCTTAAACACATTTATCCAGTTTAAAAAAAAATCTACAAATCAAAGCACTACAAATGATTTTCCCTAAGTTATGCTCACATAGATTCTATCCATGATAGTCAAGTGCAGGAAATACTTCTGTATGAACCAATGCCATCAGCTCTGTCTCCCGTTCATATTAAGGGCAAGGAGAGCTCTTGTCGCAGCCCCTTGGGAGAATACATGAAGGCTAGGAGAGTGTCTAGCTCCCGTGTGAGAAGACAGTGGCTTCCAGTGATTTCTCTAGGATATGAAGCAGCTGAGTTTCACTGTTAGACAAAGTCATCACTGGGCTTTGCATAAAAATCTCACAGATTTCTCTCCCTGTAGGCTTTTAGAATAGGCTTTTGTTACTAGAGATAAAGCTGCTAATGTTTCGAGTGGTAAGTGTCCAAAGCTGGAAGCTTTTGGGGAGTGAACTATACACACAGTTCACTCTGTGGGAACGTTAGGGTCTTTAGGTCTTGTTATTTGATCCATGGAGTTCTTCACTGGATAGGCAAAAAGCTATCTTCATGGTGTATTTTTACAAATGCAGAATGGCTTTAAAAAGGCCACTGAGTCTTCATTATCTCTGCAGAAAAATGTCCTGCAAACAATACTCCCTACAGCTCTAGAACTGAAATCTGGACAGTATGACTCTAAATACTATGTTCTGAAACACTGAGATCTTTCATTTTTTGTCACTTTGCTGGCCACTCCAAAACTAACATCCAGACAATGATCTTGTCCTTAATGGAGTTTCTTTTTAAAAACTAGACATTAAAACAAGAACCTCCTAGATGTTCTGAGTCAACACTCCACATACATTCCATGGATAAATAAATAAATGTTTTTTTTTTAAATATTTTTAAAGAGCTTACTTCTTTATCAAGAGAGATTGCCAGCGAGTAAAGTGCTTGGGCCACAAATCTGGAAAGCTGGGTTCAATCCCCTGGGACCCACTTAAAAGTAGAGAGAGAACCAACTCCCAAAAGTTGTCCTCTGACCACCGTGGTATTGACATCACACACATCACTACCCCACAGTTAGTTAACATTTATAGTAAGGCAGGTGTGGTAGCATCCACCTTTAACCCCAGTGCTGGGCAGGTGGAGGAAGGGGGACCCCTGGGTCTCACTGTGACCAGCTGATATTGATGAATCAGTGAGCTCTGGGTTCAGTGAAAAGACTTGTCTTAAAAAAAATACAGTGAACAGTGATAGAAGACGACACTGGACATCAGCATCTGGCCTCCACACACATGTGTATACATATTTCCTCACATTCTAACACGTATAAATTCACATACAAATGTGTTTTGTGGTTTTTAAAAATGTTGATAGGATTTGAAATAGTTACAATTTTGGCAAAATAATAATTTGAGACTGAAACTTATTAAGAGTTGAGAAATTTGGGGCTGGAGAGATGGCTCAGAGGTTAAGAGCACTGACTGCTCTTCCAGAGGTCCTGAGTTCAATTCACAGCAGCCACATGGTGGCTCACAACCATCCGTAATGAGATCTGGTGCCCTCTCCTGGCCTGCAGTCATATATGCTGTATACAAAATAAATAAATAAATCTTTTTTTAAAAAAAAAAAAGAGTTGAGAAATTCTTCCTATAGTTGGGATGCTGCTTTTGCCCCATCCTTTTTCCTATTTCTTAAATTAAAAAAATATTGTTTGAAGTTTCATACGTTTCTTAATGAATTCTGGCCATTTTCATGACCCCTCCCCCTCCTGCTAGAAGCTTCTCAACAATCCCCACCCCCACCTTCATGCCTTCTTTTGTGTGTGGACCACTGAGTCTATTTAGAGTTTCTTGCTTGAGCACCCATGTTTAGGCAAGAAACCCTTCATTTTAATAAAGTACCTTGTTATTTAACAACATAACTTCAGTCATTTTTTTTAATTTAAAAAATTATGTGCAGGCTTCACATGTAGAGATCACAGGACAAGGCTGAGGACTCTGTTCTCTTTACACATTTATGAGGGTTCCAGGATTGCTTATTCAGGTCACTAGGCCTACCTGGCAAGCGCCTTGACCTGCCTGCTGAGCCATCTAGAAACGCCTTTAAAGAACAGACCATTGTCTGGATGTTAGGTCCTGGAGTGGCCCCCAAAGTGACAGAAATGAAAAGGTCCTAGCGTTTCAGAATACAGGACTTAAGAGTCTAGATTTTGATTCCAGACCTGAAGGAAATCATTCTAGCCCAATAAAACATAAGCTTTTGGGTAAGGGAAATAAATGGTAATAGTGCCTACTTAAAGTTATTGTGGCGATTAAATGAAAAACTGGAAATTTGCAGAAAATAGTAACTATTGACTTTTATCAACTTAATATTTCCAACTAAATGCCTCTATTGGGGTGCCAATCAACATAGTTAAATAACCGTCAGATATGAATTAGGTTGACATTGTGTAACAATGCATATGGCAGGAATCTTCCTATGTCCATATGCATACTGTGGTTGGCACTTGGAGGCTTGTGCACTGCTGATTTCTATCTCTAAGGCACCACAGAGCCTCCACTGATATTTTAATAAAGTTTCATCATACAGCCCCAACCTCACTGCTAGATTTTCCTCGGCCCTCATCATTTAAAGGGCACCTGACATCATGGATTGCTTACACATCCAGTGACTGGGAGACTTGTGCTTCCTACTCACCCTTGATGTTGTCAGAGCATTTCAATTCTCTGGTTCCCCGATTTCATCCAAGTGAGAGAGGTGTTGGGCTACTATTAGAATGTTCTATGTAGAAGAATTCTATAAATCTAGGTTTTAATATACTCAACCATGAGATTAGAAATCTATGCTGTATGAGATTTTTCTATGTATTCTATGAGATTTTTTTAGCAAAAACATAGGTTCTCTGAGTCTTAGGCATTAATCAAATACAAGATGAGATAGTGCCTAAATATTTGTGAGATGCTCAAGTCTTCCATCCCAAAGCTGCCAGCAGTCATGCCAGCCAGGTTGGGTTATTCAGTTATTTAAATTGCAGTTTAGAAGAATTCATATACACACAATCAAGTTAAATCAAAAAAACAGATCATTATATCTTAAAAACTGACCAAGGAGAAAGAGCCTTGTGGATAACTCCCTTAGACTGACTAAGTTTGAATCATGTCTAATTCCCCTTAGCCATGCAAGGGCCCATTGACTCACCTCTGTATTCATAGACACGCTGACATAGCTTTTACATGTGGATTTCTGATCATGTGCACTGCTCTTGGCAAATCTTGGATTTTTTTTTTTTTTTACACAAACAGCCCGTGATTCTGTTGTGGATTATCCCAGAGATCAGCTTGAAAAAATAAAGACGGCTATGAGAAATGACAAATCAACCCCTTTATATTTTCTTTTCTTTGGGCACCAATATACTCCATCAATCTCAAGTCTATCTTTTGACCATTGAGAGCAAAGAGAAATGCCCTATTAAACACAAAAATGTAGATTGTACAGGCTATGTTAATATAACACAGGGCACTTTATACTTTGTAGGGAATGAGGACTGTATTTTATTTAGGCTGGTAATTGGAGCTAAGCCAAAAATGTGTGAATTCTCAATGATCTTTAGATGCTTGTAACTTGGCATATATAACATATATTCCAAGAATGTGTTAAATTCTTTCCATTTTCCACTGGCTTACAAGGGTTAGGGTTATATTACTGCCCTGCAAAAAGAAAAGAATTACAGTGGCTTCTCTATTGGTTAAAATGGAAATTCCTGGCCTGTCATTCAAAACCCTTTACAACCCAGGCCCAAACACATTTTCAGTTTCCTTTCCCATTTTTCCTTCTCCATGCCATCCACTCCAGTCTCTCTGTGACTCTTGCTCCTTCCCCGAGGCACCTCCCATTGTCACACTGCTGCTTCTGCGTGGGCTGCTCGTGTCTAGGATGCCCTTTCTCATATCCACTCTACTTGACAACTCCAATCCATCCATCAAGAAGCAGCTGAAATGTTGCTCGTCTTCATGAACCTCTCTGCATCCTTTTCTCCAGCAGCAAGTCTCCCCTTCCTTAACTGTGCTCCCCTCCTCAACATACTGCACAATAATTACCTTCCCCACCACTAACTCTGGAGGAAGGATCGATTTCACTGTACCGTCTAATTTGTAGTGGACACTCATGCACAAGTTTGCCAAAGTGAACAAAAATGTGTATATGTCAAGAAGAGAGGCAATATGTTGACTCAGGTGAACTGTTATCTTTGTTTTATTATATATAATTTGAAAAGTGTGGAAAAACAAACAAACAAAAAGCAGAACCCAGAACCCAGCTCTTTCAGAGACAGCCATTGTTAGTAGTTTAGAAAATGTACTTCCAAGTTAAGGCATTTCTTTTAAACAAAGCCCTGGTTTTTAAAATTGGAATGTTACCTAAATGGCCTAACAGATGATCCTATTTCTCCATGTGTTTTTATTAGCTCACGGAGAGAGTGGTCATTCTTTTTGGGGTGATCACCAGTCAAGAGGAAATCCAAGAGAAATATGTGGTGTGTGTTTTATTCATCTTTTGGAATCTACTGGATATGGTAAGGTAAGTAAACAAAATTGCTGGCCATGGCAGGTATGGTGGCGCACACCCTTAATCTCAGAGGTAAAGATAGGTAGATCTCAGTGAGTTCAAGACCAACCTGGCCTACACAATTAATTTAAGGCCAGCCAGGGAGGGCAATGTAGTGAGACCCTGTCTCAATCATCCATCAATCTGTTAAAACAAGGAAAAACTGCTTTAGTGAAATGAGTAGTAGCTGCTCACATTAGTTACTATGAATGAGACAGAAAAACAACTCTTTGCAAATTGTTTTATATTGAAATAGAAATGTATAGGTAGGGCTTCCTGTAATGGATATATCAAGGAAAATGAAAACCAATCTTGGTATTCCAAGTGCAAATCTGAACTCTCAGGTTTCCAGAATGAGGCTTTGTCAGGATACTGACCTGGAATGACCTCACAGCTATGTACTAATGTAAGGTACTTACCATTGCTCTAACATGCATTATTTTAATAAGCAAAACAGGACTTTCATTACTTGTCAGAACCCAAAGCTGGTGTCATAGCTTCAGTTGTCAATCTGACACCTAGAAAGGGGAGGAACCTCAACTGAGAAATTGCCTCTATCTGATTGGCCTGTGGAGGCATTTTCTTGACTGTTAATTTATGGAGGAGGGACCATCCCACTGTGGGCCTGGAAGTAAATATGCAAGCAGTGTTCCTGGTCACTGCTTCAGGTCCTGCTCTGACTTCCTTCAGTGGTGGATTATGACCTGGGAGTCTTTCTTTTTTTCTTTTTTTTTTTTTTTTTGGTTTTTCCAGACAGGGTTTCTCTGCGTAGCTTTGCGCCTTTCCTGGAGCTCACTTGGTAGCCCAGGCTGGCCTCGAACTCACAGAGATCCGCCTGGCTCTGCCTCCTGAGTGCTGGGATTAAAGGCGTGCGCCACCACCGCCCGGCCCTGGGAGTCTTTCTTACACTAAGCTGGTTTGGGCCAATATTTTATCATAGCAAAGAGAAATAATCTACAACAATTGGTTTCTGTGACTTCAGGAATATTTTATATCAGGACTTCATTTCTCTGGGAATAATGTACCCCCAGATCCATTTCTGTACATAACTCTGGTGGGATCCAATGGCTAACTTAGTCCTTTTATGGCATCCACAGAAACTACTGCTGCTCCAGAGATCTAGACAGGAATAGTCCCAAAAGAGTCTTGGCTTTTGGGCTGAGATTGTGTAAATCTGTTTTTATTATATTGTCAATAACTTGGCTGAGTTAAAAATATAGCCCCAACAGTGGGTTGAGTTTTAGGAAAGATTGTACGTGTACTTAGTAAGCTATTTAATGTTTTAAAAATAGAATTTTAGACAAGGACTTTTGTAGCCTGTGACTTCCTATTTACATTGGTTCCTTGCTAGGTACTACAGCTTTCAGATATATTGGAATATGATTCTGTCTAACTCAGCATCAATTCTCATAGACTCAACAGAACAACATGACTTTCATCTTGAAAGTGGTAGCAAACTATCATGGAATGATTTGGGGACAGAGAGGATACAGCAGGATGGAACCCACCTCCACTACTTATTTGCTCTATGATCTTGGGCATCACTTAACTTTTTGTAAATAACAGTTTTATTGGGATATACCTTACCTACCACAAATTTAACTTTTTAAAATATAAAATGGGTGAGTTTCTGTATGTTCAAAGATGCACAACCCTCATGGTTATTCAGCCAAAGAACAATTTTTTCACCCATTAGAAATACCATACCCATATGTGCACATCACTCCTGATTCCCTCCTTCCCCAGGCCTTGGCAACCATTCTCATACTATCTCTATGGGTTTTCCACTATGCCTGCCATGGCCAGCAATTTTGTTTCCTACTTTGTGTTTCATACAAACGGAGTCACCAAATATGTGGTCTTTTGTTACTAGCTACTTTTTACTTGGAATAATGTTCAAAAGGTTTATACAGTGTTGTAGCAGGGAATGCTATTCCGTGGTGTTTTGTGGCTGAATAATATTCCATTGTATCACCATAATACTTTTGGGTTATCCACATAGTTGATGCATATTTGTATTATTCCTACATTTTGGAAATGAGAAATACTGCTATGAGCACACATAGACAAGCTTTTGTTTTCCTCATAACCACTAGTAAAACCCCTGGGCTCTTCTTTTGATAGTGTTTTTCTTTCTGCAAAATGGGGATGGAAATATCTCAATCTATGTGAAATAATTTGTTTAAAGAAAATAATCAACAAGAATCTTACTCAGCCCATTAAAGGTACTCGTGGAAAGATCACAACTACCATGTGAGCTAATGATGTGAGAGGGATGCATCCCTCCTAAGAATGCAATAAGGATATCGATACTGTTCAACATTGTATTGGGATTTCTAGCCACAGCAATTAGGAAAAAAATGTAAAAGGCATTCACAAGGTTAGCCGAGTTGTACAACACAAGATCCAATACAAATCAGTGTATTTCTATCTATTTTCAGTGAACTATCAAAATGAAAATAACAGAAACAATCCTGTTTATGATAACTTTCAACAAAATGGAGAATGCAGGAATACATTTAACAAAAATAAGCAGACCTTACACAATAAAGATCTTGATAAATAGAAGGGCATTCCATATTGAACACTTAATATTGTTAAGGTGGCAATACTCCCAAATCAAATCTGCAGTCATTGAAAGCCCTGTTAGAGTCTCAGATTGGGTTTGTAGCAGAAATTGAGAGGCTGATCTTAAAATTCACATAGAAACCTGAACTCAGATGAGTCAAAACCTTTATAAGAACACACTTGGTTTCACTCTTCTCAATTCAGAACTTACTACAGAGCAACACTGATCATGTGTGTGGTACTACTATATGGACCAATCAGAGGATAGATTCAACAGTTCAGAGATAACCTCTTCTAGTTTAGGTTAAGTTTTGACAAAGATCCCATGAGATTCAATGAGGGAAAGAATCATCTTAACAAACAGTAACAGGATAACTGGATACTACATGCAAAAGATGAAGGTGTATTTGGCAATGTACCCTTAGACAGGACACCAAAACCACAAGCAATAAACGAAAATAAATAGATAACTTGAGCTGGATTATTAGTTACTGTGTGGTTAATACTGAGAACTTAATAGGATGCCTAAGGCATTAAGGAGACACGTCTTCAGGTGTTCCTACGAGATTCCAGAGTTCAGCTGAGGGAGAGCTGCCCTGAATGGGAGTGGTATCATCTCATGGGCTAAGATCCTGAACTGAATACAGAGGAAAGAAAGGAAAAGTAATCTGTGAGTCAACAGGTCATCTGGGTAATCTGATGTGTGCTGAGGTGTAGACACCACTGACTTATTCATATACATAAATGTACATCAAATATTTTCCCCTAGCAGGTTTAAAGTTAACCTACTATACCCTAAACCTGCTTCCAAGACCAGTTCTGATTTTATAATGGGGCAAAGCAGTAGACACAGAGGATGGCAGATATGAATTTAGGAATTGTGTTTTAATAAATTCACCCTTTACAATATGTGCAAATAGGTCTATCTTTTCAAGAAGCTGTTACTGCACAAAATGAGCTTGGCTTTTAAATAAAATTGAAGTCATTAATCATGGAAGCTTATAACTGTTATTTCTTGGAAGGAGGAAAGAGCTACATTCCTGTTCTGTTCAGTTGTATAATTATCTATGATCCACCCCATGAGATAAGCCAGGGAGACATAGGTTCCCCATCCCATGATATCATTTTTACCTGTCCTTGCTTAAATTATAGGAAATAAAGCATGTAATTCCCATATTGCCAATTTTATTCCAGTGTTTAATTTGTAGGAAGATACCTTCTCTTATTTCCCAGACAGCAGCAACAAAAGATGCTTATGAACCACCTGTTTCCTTCCAGATACACATATAGCATGCTGTCAGTCATAGGAATATCTTATGCTGTCTTGACATGGCTCAGCCAAACACTGTGGATGCCAATTTATCCTCTGTGTGTTCTTGCCGAAGGTAAGAGTCCTGTGTTATATTTTTGACTGTTACAAGCCCTTGATCTCTAATTGCTCACTAAATTTTTTGATGATGAAACTGCTATTTTTTTTTTTTACTAGTACTTGGCTTACTGATGATATCTTTGCCAGTCTATTTCCTTGCTTCAAAGAAGCAAATCATTAAGAAGCAAAGTTCACTGGGGTGTGGTGGTGTACACCTGTAACTCTGGGGGCAGAGACACCAAGGCCAGCCTGGTCTACAGAGAGTTCCAGGACAGGCAAGGAGACATAGGCAGACCATGTCTCAAAGATTGAGACGGGAGGGAAGGAGGGAAGGAAGGAAGGAAGGAAACAAGGAAGGAGATAGAGAGAGAGAAAGAGAGAGAGGATAGGAGAGGGGAGAGAGAGAGAGAGAGAGAGAGAGAGAGAGAGAGAGAGAGAGAGAGAGAGAGAGAGA